CCTAATCCATACAACGCAACAAGGCAAACCACAACCATCCAGGATTGCGGATTGATTTGGAACAACCCAGCGCGGCGTTCGCAGCCAGGTTTGCCCTCTGCACCAGCCGTCAATCCAAACCTATGAATTTCAGGTTTGAAAACTCACCCAAGTGGGTGGTTCCCATGACCACGCGTGGCACAAGCACTCGCAACTCTTTCTGTGACGTGGCCCCGGGCCCGGAGCGAGGGGTGCCAATTCGAATTCCATGTCTCGCACCTCAGGCCGGAAGTCTTTGCGCAACAAGGGGCGTCTACCGCCCAGCGGTTGATTCGGGAAAACCCCTGGTTTCTCTGCGACCACTGGGGGCACCCTTACCGGTTTAGAATTGGGCTGCCACTGTGTGAAAAAACGCACTCACAGGGTTAGAATTGGGCTAGCAGTGGCGAAATCTAACTTGGGATTGGTAGAAGAGACGGCGCTCAAGCGCCGGCAGAAATGCAACTTCTCAGCATGGAGGAAAACATGCCAAACCCCGACCAAAAAAAACACAACTAACGCCACAAGCACGCAAGAGGAGGCACCACTGCAAGTGAGGAACACCCAATTCAGCAAGAAACGAGAAAAGAACAAATGGTTTCTCACAAAAGTTGTCGGCGGAATGCGCCGCAGCAGCCGCAGCTTGCCTGCATACTACTTTGATAAAACAAAAAACTGGTGCCTTTTTTTCCCCGAAAATGGGAAACGAAAAGAACAGGAAAGGAAAAGGCAGGAAAGGACAGGAAAGGAAAGGAAGAAAGAAGCTGGTTGGTCGCACGTGGGTTTGATCCGGGGCATTCTGATCCGGTGCGATACCACTACACCAACCGCCCCAGATACCAAGGGCTGGGAAAAAAGTTCACCAGAAGGAGCTTCTGGATAGTTGCTTTTTGGCCGTTGCAACCCACCCAGTTAAGTTGGTTTCTATCGCTAAGATTGTCAGGTTCCGCCAGAGTGTTCACGTCTTAAGCGGCGGTTGGCCCCCCATCTCACTGGGAGATTTGAGGTGTCCATCTACCAGGGTTCCATTTTGGGTACCTGTTCTTGACCCACACCCATATATTAATAGGGGAAAGCATTCTTCTTGATCCAAACATGTCCCACAGGGGCAAGGGGATCGATCCACCACTTCGGAGGGCCTCAAAAGTCGTGAAACTATGCGCCCCACCCACACCGCGAAAACCCGCGAGTTGCGACATGCGAATAAAGGGAAACCCCAGGCCCCTCAAGAACTTCCCAACAAGGGTTCTTTGCTCGAAAAAAAGCTTGACAAGGTTCTAACCCATGGGCCAACCGCCAACCGATGGTTCAATACTGCCTTTTAAAAATATGGTTTAACCATCATCCTGTGGGTTTTATGCACCTAACCAAACTCTGGACACAGTTCTTAGCACCCTGTTCGGGGGACTATTTCCTGACTGCGAGGAGCTGATCAACTTGGCGCAAACGACGTTCAGGCCGCTACAGCCTCAGCCTGAGCACAGGGCGGTTTTCTGGGCCTGGGAAATACAACCCGGCAGGCTTAACACATCTCAACATGGATTGCCGCACGGAGAGTTGGGTGGCAAGGCGTGGCGGCATCCGCGAAACAAACAAACAATCAAACAAACAATCAAACAGACACGAACAAAAAACAAACAAGCGAGAGAAAGAGAGAGGCAAAGACACAAAGGCAAAGACAAATCAAGAGGGAAACACAGAGCCATTTTTTTTCACACACACACACACCAAGCTCACCAGACTTGATACGCAAGCAACATCTTCGCCCACATGGTCTGCGCCCACCCTCCCTTCACTCCCCTGACTCCCCTCTCCTCGGCTGCAATCCTCCAAAACGACCTGCGCAGGGCTTCAATGAGTTCATGCGACGTGTGCCTCGATGCCTGGCCTCGCGCCATCTCAGCTTCGGCCTGCCGCCTCTGCAGCTCGTCCGTCTTGCTCAGGCACCCCCATAGGTTGCCTTAGCCACTCATACCCTGGAAGTTGATAGCCGGATAGCTCAAGATATCCAAACTCCAGTCACAAAAGTCGAATATGCCGCCAAGTCGCGCACATCCATTTCCTGATGCTTTGTCAGGAACCCGCCTTTGTTTAAGGCCTTGTAGTGCTTGACTCGCTCTTGCATTTCCTCCCTCGCCGCCTTCATCGCCATCTCGTACTAGCCGTTGACCAAAGCGCAAGAGGAGTATGAGACTCGTACTCCTCTTGAGCTTTGGTCAACGGGCGGACTGGCGGGGCGAGGATCTCCACATCCTTCGGCGCTGACTGCGCTGGAGCCTGCGCGGCCGACTCAGCTTCCGGCTCTTGTGGCGCTGCTGCAGCCAATGGCGCAGGTGAAGGCGATGGCCCCACCAGAGGCACCCCTGCGTCAGCCGCGGGCCTTCGTGCCCGCAGCAAGCGGCGCAGGCCAGCACAGCATTTTGCCACGGCCGACGGCATGCTTGCTGAAAACCTTTGTGCAAAATGCTGAACTACGCCCCTATGCCTGAGCCTGAAAACCACGTCGCCATGCTCTGCAAGCAGCTTTTGCCCAAGCTTGCAGTGCGACAAAGCATCAATGGTCGGTCAATGAACTAACAGGCGTTTCTACTTCACTTGACCAAGGAGAGTCGAACCCCCGTGTGGGGGAGGGGGGGGGGGGCGGGGGCTTGGTGAGTAAAATCAAGCCTCCCTCTAAAAGAAGCCTTGCTAACGCAAGCAACTACTCAAGATAACCATCCTGTAAGGCTACCTTTCGTGGAATGGAAGAAGTCCGCTACAAAATGATACTATGCGCCATTCGTGCAACAATAAGGCTCTGGATGGCGTTGATACAAGCATTCAACCAAACAGCCTGCCACCACCCGCTCAGCTGCCACAAACATGGCGATCGATCTCCGCAGTTTCGCTCTCGCATCGCTGACATTACATGCTCGCAGCCCCTTCCTGTCCGGAAACTGCGGCTCAAGGCTGTCCTGCCAGCTGTTTTGGAAAACGATGTCTGAGCAATGCCCCAAGAACTAGAATAGGGTTGCGGGATACCCTGCGGATAAAATACGTCATTATCATTGAATAATAATCTTCATGTATGTATATATATATATACGTATATGTAAATATATGTATATGTATATATGCGTTTTCGGATTCTTCTGTTTTTTTTTGGGGGGGGGGGCATACATAGTTCCAATACGGTGGTCTAAGGACCAGCCTCAATCGATACGGCCGAGATCTCCAGGCCGCAGGTGGCCGCCTTCGGTGACCTCCTTGAAATAGAAATAGGGACACCCGTGAGACTATAGGCGCTTTGGGATTGTTGGCCGGGGTGGGTTTCTCATGGGGGAGGTGTATCCCTAATCCATACAACGCAACAAGGCAAACCACAACCATCCAGGATTGCGGATTGATTTGGAACAACCCAGCGCGGCGTTCGCGGCCAGGTTTGCCCTCTGCACCAGCCGTCAATCCAAACCTATGAATTTCAGGTGAGAACTCACAGTGGGCGGTTCCCACGCGTGGCACAAGCACTCGCAACTCTTTCTGTGACGTGGCCCCGGGTTCTGAGCAAGGGGTGCCAATTCGAATTCCATGTCTCGCACCTCAGGCCGGAAGTCTTTGCGCAAAAAGGGGCGTCTACTGCCCAGCGGTTGATTCGGGAAAACCCCTGGTTTCTCTGCGACCACTGGGGGCACCCTTACCGGTTTAGAATTGGGCTGCCACTGTGTGAAATTGGGCTAGCAGGGTTAGAATTGGGCTAGCAGTGGCGAAATCTAACTTGGGATTGGTAAAAGAGACGGCGCTCAAGCACCGGCAGAAATGCAACTTCTCAGCATGGAGGAAAACATGCCAAACCCCGACCAAAAAGTCGCAACTAACACCACAAGCACGCAAGAGGAGACACCACTGCAAGTGAGGAACACCCAATTCAGCAAGAAACGAGAAAAGAACAAATGGTTTCTCACAAAAGTTGTCGACGGAATGCATCGCAGCAGCCGCAGCTTGCCTGCATACTACTTTGATAAAAACCAAAAAACTGGTGCCCTTTATTTTCCGAAAATGGGAAACGAAATGGACAGGAAAGGAAAAGGCAGGAAAGGACAGGAAAGGAAAGGAACAAAGAAGCTGGTTGGACGGCAAGTGCGCCCTGTGTGGCTGCGGGCTGACGGCCGGCACCTGCGAGCTGGACCACGTTGTGCCGGCGCGGCAGGCCTTTGCGGGCAGCGTGCAAACTCTGCAGGAGCTGTGCGGCGACTGCCACAGCGAGAAGACGCTGAGAGAGAGCGCGCAGCCCACCAGCCTGGCGCCCGGCGTCATGGAGCAGTACGTGAGGCGCAGGCGTGCGCAGCGTCCCGCCAGAGAGACGCTTTGCTGGTCGGCGTGGACGTGGTGCGCTGCACTCTCTCTTTAGAGGGGGTTTTCCGAGCCCGTCGCAAACCTGCAGCGCTGTTTCTTGAGACGAGACCCGGTCTTCCTGCGCTCCTTGCTGCGTCTGGTGGGGCGCATCCTGCCGGGCACTCAGAGAGGCCGTGCCGGGCGTCGGGCTGACTGGCTCGGACATAAGCTGATTGGTTCGGACATAAGCTGACTGGTTCGGACATCCGCTGACTGGTTCGGACATAAGCTGACTGGTTCGGACATCCGCTGAGTTGTTCGGACATAAGCTGGTTTGTTCGGACATAAACTGGATGGTGTTTGCAGCTCGATGAGGCGCTACTCCAAACCGCTCAATTGTTTCAAAACGCAAATCCAATATTGCTCCGGAACTGTATTTTGTAATTCCAAAAAAACATGATGGACTCAACAATATGTTTCCAAGTAAAACTCTTGACATTCACACTGTATTGACGCAAAACATTCATCTATGTTCATCTTGATTTCTCTTTTTGCCACCTCTTCTTCATAGCGTATCTGTGTCTGCAAACTCTGTATTGTTGACGTGCAAAATTCGGAGTCCACTTCATCCATCTTGCAGAAAGAGAGTTCACAGAACTCTGTGCTGGCTGTGCTGGGTGAAACTTGACTGCTTCAATCCGAGTGGGGTTGGACTGGTCTTACAACATCAATTGTTCTGCTCTTGCCATGCTCATGCTCAAGCAAAAGCATCGTCTGCCAACCACCCCTGCGAATGTGTATCGAAACGCGCTGTTCTGAGTGAAACTTGAAACTTGAAGTGCAAAGTGCAAGAAACCATATTGCTATGGTACGAGGTAGCCGTAAGGCGTCTCTTCCGTGGAAGGGCGCAATGCAGCTCTCATCTTCTCCTCCTCCTGCCACGTGCCTTCGGTGAGGTGGAAAATCCGCGTCTCATCAGCATCGCATTGGACACGATTTGGCTTCTCCTCCTTGATGACGTTCTTCAGGAAGCCGATGTTCACCGGCATAGGCTCGATTGGCAGGGCGTCGCCCACCAGCTTGTACTCGCCGTTCTCCTCCTTCAACTCTCGCACCCAGACCATCTCTGTCTTCGCAGGCTGACCTTGGCTCTTGCAACTGACAACCCATGAGCTGAATGAAAAAACTGGCATATCCCGGACAAAACACCAGACCGACAAAAAAGCAGTGCAAAACCAGTGCAAGGGTCTGGTCTCAGCTTTTGGAGGCAGGTTGATGCTCTTCAGCGACTGCACACTGTGGAGCTCAGGCTTGCCATCGTCTTTGAGCACCAACCGTCGCGCCACCAGGTCACAGTCCACTGTGAACTTGTTGGTGCTTTTGATGCCCTTGCTCTTCACGTGGACGGTGTATCCGGTGTGGGCGATGTTGGGGACTAAGCCTATGACTTGAACATCATCAGCTGTAGTCTTCTTCACCTTGTCGAGCATCCTTTCACTGTCATTGCCGATGATGTAAAGAGCCTTGTGTTTGGCGTTCTTGTAGTTGGTCTTGCTATCGAAGCGCTGAAGGTGCTCGGTGATGTTTCCATTCAGTTTCACGCCCTCCAAAACAAAACGCTCCCCACCAATTTCAAGTGCAATGTCTGGATTTCCTTCACCCTTCCGAGATCGCTTTGTGGAAACGGGCTGAAATCCCATATCTTTCAAGACCGTGCAAATTGCCTGGTTGTACTGCTCCTCACCCGGAAGACCATCCTTCGCCAACTCAGATGTGTTTCCTTCGAAGCTCACAACCTGGGAGAAGAGCAGGTAGGGCAATGCGCGCATCAATAGGTCTGCACAGTGTTGGGGTTTGCCGCACTCAAATTGAACTTGCAAACTGTGCCTCTTCTTCAAATTGTGGAAGTAATACGAGGCAAGCAAAGGGTTTGCCGCTCGGTATTCTGTGCCCTCACTCCTCCAATCCAACTGTTGGAACTCTCCCTCTGTACCACTGTAAATAGGAAGCACGAAACCGTAGATGGTAAGCTCTCTCCGGACATGGTGTGTCAATGTTGTTGAGCCCTTGCACAAAAGCTCTACAAACTCTCTCGGCACGTTGCTCACATCTTCGTAGAAGCCATTGACCCTAACTGCACGGCTCTTCTGCAGGTATCCCAAAATCTCATTGCTTGCGCAATCCCAATCTCCTCCATTGTAGCTATTCCGCACAAACCCCACTGTCTGCCGGAAATCCCAGCCTTTACCACTTCTCTGCTTGCTCTGCTTGCTCTGCTTGCTCTGCACCCAGCGCATTGCTGCGACTCTTCTGGTCCAGCCTAACACCGGCTTCCTCAAGCTGAGTCTCCAGCTCTTGCGTGTAGCTCAAGGGAGGTATCCACATGTACTTCTGGGTGATTTCAGCGGTTGTGGACACACCACGGCCGGGTGCAGTGGAAGCGTCCCCTGAAGCTGAGAATAGCAACACCTTTGTTCGATACTGTTTGTTGCTCTTGAAGAGGTTAAAGCACAATGTCGCGGATGCGAACACTGTGTGGGCTTCGTCATAAATCAAGGTCAGATCGTTTGCTTTTGCTATCTTCAGGGCATTGCTGAACTCTAAACTGTTTCTTTCAACTGTCGTTTTCGTGCGCTCCTCGATAGCTTCAACTGTCCTCGATTTCCAGGCCTGTTCGGAGCATTCATCAGTTTGGGGGGGAGGGGGAACATTGACGTACTTCTCGGGAAACTCACGTGCCAAATGCTCCGCCAGTGTTGTCTTGCCGGTGGCTACTCCGCCGCGGATGAAAACGACATCGTCTCCTTCAATCAACTTGTCAATTGTCTTGTCGTAGTCTGTCAGGGAAATGAAAACATGCTTCTGCACATCTGCCGAGTCGCCCAGCGGTGGCAGTATCCGACGCTTTTGGGGACTTGCATTGCGGACTTGCGCTTTCAATCTAGTCGGAAGTCTTGCGTCGAATCTCGTGGGGGGCCGGAATGGATTGCATCCGCCGCCGACAAAGGTCAAATGCTCGTGCGCACTGTCAATGAAAAGCATCGCCTTCATCACTTTGCACAGGCCTTGCCGTCTTTGGGCAAGTCGCCTCATGATGGGGGACGCCTAACTGATGAACTTTCTCTGAGGGTATGTCCCACACATTGCCTGAATACATGGCAGTACTGCAACACATTGCCTCTTGGTACAAACTATTGTTTCTATGGTGTGGCTGATTGTTGAAGTGATGAACATGCTCTCAAAGGGTTTGAGTGAACAACAGCACCGAAGCACGTGCCCAGGCTTGGACATCTCCCGCTAACCCTTGAGCACATGATAAACAGCTTTGCTGGAACAACCACCATGCAGGCAGTACTACTTCAACCACAAATGACGCATAGCAACGCCCAAAGTGAGGGAGGCGACCCGAAGCTAGCCGTCATGCCACAGCTTTGCGGTTTTTGAAGGCCATCAACCTCAGTCAATGACAAACCGCGTGAGGACAATCTCGTCAAGCCGCAAGAACGCGACACAGAAGAGAGAAGCATGCAAACCACAAGTTGCATGAAGCAATGCAATAGCATGACAAAGCAACTTGGCATGGAAGGGACTGGGCATGGGTTGGATCACAAAATTTCACCGGCGTAAACCCCAAACAGTCTGTTCTAAAAAGTTGCACTCCTTAGAAATCAGAGGATCTATTTTCCACCAATCCTTCTTGAACAGCAAGCTGTGCCCCCGAAACCGCGCGCAATAATAACGCCACAGCGGCCACAGCGAACAAAGAAATAAATGGGCAGACGAGACACACTTGTAAAGGCATGAGCTGGAAGACAAAGAGCCCAGCGAACGAAGAGACCGACGCAAGAATCAACCTGTGGTTGGGAGGCAAATAAAAGTTAATGAAAGGATTGAAGAAAGACAAGGCCGGAGGAGGACACAGCCACCGATGCTGGAAGCCAAGTGAAAGGACGCACGCAATTTTTTGCGCAAAATCAGCCACCGACTATCACCGACTTTGGGGGTTGTGTGACCAATTTTGGGGAAATCTGCGAACGAGCAATCCCTCGTCCCGGATGCATTTTCTCAACCCCAATGGCGCCCAGCTGGCTTTTCCCGGTCAGCTATGCTTCTTACCTAGGATAATGCAGCAGTCGCGATTGATGGTGGAGGTTCGTTGACACCCCACAAACATCCTAACTTCATGCATAAGTGGCGCATTTGCACATCGCCCACTCGACTGCCATGGGCAGCCTTGGCCAGATGCATTACAGGTTGTCAGCCAATGTGCTCTAGGGTGACACGACGACAGCAAGGTTCCGGAGACCGGCTTGCTGGACATCATGCGCGAATCTCGGCACTCGAATTGACATTCCTCTTAAACTCAGAAGAAAAAATCCTGCGCTCAACGCACAACGCAACACATGCGGCTCAGTTGCAACGGAGCGCTTCATTTGACTCACTTGAAGCAGTCCCACTTCCGCTAGACCATTGTGCTCTTGCGCGCAAAATCAAAATTGATCGGCTTCCCGGAAACCGGGCCCCGATATAAAATGGATCGCTCAAAGAAAATGACTTCATGACTCACGCACCAGTCATCCAGTGGACTACACCCGCCTGAGGCTCGACAGCCTGCCGGGCACAGGGGCACAGGTCCCTGCCACAGCTCTTCCCGCTGATGCCTTGCGCCCCGAGCTGCGGCTGCGCGCCGACGTCCCGCAGCCTTCCACGCTCTGGCACAGAGCCGGTCTTATCGTAAGCCAAGCGATCAAGACCGAGTTTGGCCTTGGTTGAAAACGGGCCAGACGCACCCGAAGACATGCTCATTACGCCATCATTTCGCATGCGCCACCGCGATTTGCTCTCTTGGCAAACGCACGCAAGAGCTCAACCCGTTTGCCTTGTTTGGAGCGGCGCGCCCCCTAGTCACAGAACAAAGGACAAGACTGCCTGGGTGAACGCAGCCAAAGCTGCCAAGACCAAAGAGCTGTGTGTAACCGCAGGACACAAGGAAAGCGCAACCAAAGAAGGAGCGGTTGGCTTAGTTGCCTTTTCAGCAACCCCGGTCCCAGCACAGCTCGGACACGGCTAATGCCCTTACTGTGGCAGCAACGAATTCCATCGGGATCTCGTGCAACACGGGCAAGGCGCTCCAGAAGTCACGGTTCGCCATGCGCACGATAGTGGGGCTTTGAACCACTCGGGAACCACTTGGAAATGCAATTTGGCAGCTTCAGACCACTCGGAAACCACTTGAAAATGCAATTTGACAGCTTCACTTGGAAATGCAATTTGGCAGCTTCGGACTACTCGGAAACCACTTGGGAATGCAACTTGGCAGCTTTGAACCACTCGGGAACCACTTGGGAATATTCGGCAGCATAAGACCACTTGGGTACCACTTGGAAAATGCAATTTGGCAGCATGATACCACTTCTTTAAAATGCAATTAGGCAGCATTAGACAACTTGGAAACCTCTTGGAAATGCAATTTGGCATCTTTGGACCACTCGAGAACTTGGAAATGCAATTGGCAGCTTTGAACCACTTAACACTTGGAAATGCTCGGGAACCACTTGAAAAAGCAATTTGGCAGCAAAAGACCACTTGGAAACCACTTGGGGAATGCAATTTAACAGCATTATACCCTCGGGAACCACTTTGGAATGCAATTTGGCAGCTTTGGACAAGAGGCCGAATGTTAACAAACCTACTAGCGGTTCAAATTTTTGCTCCATGAAACCAGATGACTACTAAGACACAAAAGAAGGAAAAAAAAGCTACTGGCGGTTCAAAAAAAACTGAGCCTAGAGTGTTCCCATTCTTCTCTCTGGGCGCACCAGTGCGAGCTCATCATGATTAACGACGAGGCAAGAGACGACGGTTTGTTCGCACCAGCAAGTTCGAACTTGGTGCATCGCATCTTGCCTTCGATCATGATGCATCGCAAGGATTACAATATGATGGCCCTTGACTTTCAGGATGCATTTCTGACGGTGAATCAGGAGAAGCCTACAATTGTGCATGCATATCCGCAAGGCTATTTGAAAGAAGTGTGCAGCTGCAAAGGATTCGAAGTCTAAAACGCTGCGTGGAGGCGTGTGGCTGCAAAATAATGACCCCTAGATATGCTTGCAATTTAGCTCCAGGTTGCATTTCAAGCAGGCCAACCTTTGCAGAGCTAAGAAAAAACAAAAAAAAGAAAACAAGGGGTCCCAAAAAAAAGGGGTCCCGAAAAAAAAGGGAAAGGGGTTTCCTTTGACAAAGCTTGACATCGCTTGAAACGCAACCTGAGCCAAATTGCTGCGCATATCTAGGGTCATTATTTTGCAGCCACACGCCTCCACGCAGCGTTTTAGACTTCGAATCCTTGCAGGACAAGGTCGGACGAGTGCTAGGAGCCTCTCAGGTAGAATAGAATCCATTTGGGAAACCCCCTCTAAAGAGAGAGCTTGGCCTGAGAAGAGTGCTCTGCAAAGGAGCGTGCTCTGCAAAGAAGCGTGCTCTGCAGAGAAGCGTGCTTTGCAAAGGAGAGTGCTCTGCAAAGAAGCGTGCAGAGAAGCGTGCTTTGCAAAGGAGAGTGCTCTGCAAAGGAGTGTGCTCTGCAAAGGAGAGTGCTTTGCAAAGAAGCGTGCTCTGCAGAGGAGCGTGCTCTGCAGAGGAGCGTGCTCTGCAAAGGAGAATGCTCTGCAAAGAAGCGTGCTCTGCAAAGGAGAGTGCTCTGCAAAGGAGAGTGCTCTGCAAAGGAGAGTGCTCTGCAGAGGAGCGTGCTCTGCAAAGAAGCGTGCTCTGCAAAGGAGCGTGCTCTGCAAAGGAGCGTGCTCTGCAAAGGAGCGTGCTCTGCAAAGGAGCGTGCTCTGCAAAGAAGCGTGCTCTGCAGAGGAGCGTAAAGAAGCGAGCTCTGCAAAGGAGCGTGCTCTGCAAAGAAGTGCTCTGTCTTCACCGCGCCCGAAGCTGACTCACCGAAGCTGACTCCTCTCTCTTTAGAGGGGGTTTCCCAAATGGATTCTATTCTTTCTGACAGGCTCCTAGCACTCGTCCGTCCAGGAAACGACCTCGTCCTGCGACGGATTCGAAGTCTAAAACGCTGCGTGCAGGCGTGTGGCTGCAAAATAATGACCCCTAGATATGCTTGCAATTTGGCTCCAGGTTGCATTTCAAGCGAGCCAACCTTTGCAGGGCTAAGAAAAAAATACAAAAAGAGAAAAAAAGGGGTCCCCAAAAAAGGGGTCCCAAAAAAAAGGGAAAAGTGGTTTCCTTTGGCAAAGCTTGACATCGCTTGAAATGCAACCTGGAGCCAAATTGCGGCGCATATCTA